AGACATCTTTAAGTATTCGTCGAACATATCGGACGCCGTCCCGTACGCCAACTGACGGAGCGCGGCGGTGCACTTTTGGACGCTACTAAACCCGCGTCGGCCTCTCGCATCAAACCGTTGGTTGAACCAAGGAACCTCGCGTTCAACATCGGCGAGTATGCGTAAGAACAGAGGACGACTCATCCGAAAACGATTACTAAAATCCTCCGGTGTATAAACACACGGATTATTAAAGTAGTCGTTTAGAAGTGAATCGTGGGCGGCCGCTCGATCTCGGTTAAGACGTTGGCATCGGGTCCGTCGTCGGGAGGATTCGGCTTCTTCTTGGCCATCTTCCCACCATTGAATACAATTCGTCGCGAAACAACGAAAAAATAAAGCTCTTCTTTCATCGTCGAAAGATGAACCCATTTTTAAATTATATTTTATAAATATTTATAATAAATAATAAATATTTTTGAGAGAATATATAGTAATAAAGAGAGAATTGTTAGAGAGAGGTGTGAGGAAGATGTATAAGAAGGGGGGAATTTATAGGTTTTTTTTTAAATTTTAGATTTTTTTTTTAAATTGGGGGGGGGGGGGGGTAACGGCTTTATAGCCGTTGGGAAGGGGAACGGTCAAAAAATTCGGCCATCACGCCGCGTCAAAACATTAACGCAACGCTCCTCACGCCCGTTTCACGCCGGCGGGGGGCGGTGTTTCACGCCCCGTAACGCCGGTGGGCGTGAGGAGTATACCCAGTGCTCTAAAGTTTGAACCACTTTATGCAAATATATTCCATTTGTACCAAAAAATAATTCCAATTTCAGGATTTAATTTATTACTTGATCCAATTTGAATGTCTTGTTAACAAAAATGATCCCCTTCAATATCGAAAGTGAATTTTCTGGCAAAAAGTGTTAGTCGCTGTCTAAAATATTGATTTAATATTAAAATTTTGTGAATAGATTGATTATTGCATATAATTTCACTCCCAAAACAAATATATAAGAACTAATTAATCTAACTTTAGTTAAGCTAAAAATAATCACTAATATATTTCAAAATTAAACTTGATTTCATGTTACTTTTTTTTGGAAAACTTGATTTCCTTTTATTGGTCATACTTTATAGTGAAATAAAAAAGTTTTTCTTTTTCTACGGAGTTATTTTGTTATGGAATAAATATTGATAATAATTGTTTCTTTGCAAAAAAATAATAGTTTCATTTATTATTATGTTGTAGTTTTAAAAATTAATTGGAAAATGCAATAGATCAAGAGGCCACAAGTCTGAAATGGTAAACTAATAATTTGAGTGACATGCTAACACTTATTGCCATAAAATTCATGGTTAATTTTCAAGAAACCATCTTTGTAACAACGTATTTAAGTTTGGACCAAACAATGATAGAAAAACATTCAATTTAATTATTTGTATCAAATTAATTCAAATCATTCAAATTATATTTGACAAATTTATTAAATCACTTAAGAAATATAGACAAATTTTTCACACTATAATTCTTAAGTTATCTACATAAGTACTAACAATAAATAAAGACCCTCGAGTAGGGATAGGGTCAGCGAATTAACATATACCCACCTTGTTCAAACCGTGCTTTCGTGATATTTTACCAAGTTGTTTTTGAGGTCTTTTTCAAAATAAAACCCCAAAAAAATCAGGTGAAAGTGCGCATTAACAAATGAGTTTTCACTATCATCAAAACTTTGGCACAAAGAGAAAGTAGTTTGTTATACTAAAAATTCATGGCAGCAAATCTGATAAAGGTCATAAATCACATTCATGAGGAAGCAATGGTAGTTAACCCAAGTCAAAAGTCTCAGGCTTTCTCTGAACTATTTGGGGCTTTCTCAGTTTCATTTTCCTGACCAACCTTCTTTGATCCAAAGACGAACTCCTTCACAGAGCGCTCCGCTGAAAGTATTGCGTTTTTGATCTGCCATTGCAACAAGAGACAATACTATCATCATCATCATCACCTTGATCTTAAGATAACAGCTCATGCAAAATGCATACTACAAAAGGGAAATTATTTAGAATAAAGTAAAGGGTATGTTCAACTAGAATAACTATAAATTACAACAAGCTTGGAAGATGAATTAGCAAAAAAACAATCATGCCACTCCAACACAAGGCAGCTTCCCCACAAGTGTTTCAACAGGATCTCTTTAGCAAGTCGTTAGATTGAATTTATGATCTGAACCCAATAGAGTTTCCAACACAACAATTCAACGATGAAGGCAAGGGTTCCAATGAGCACAGAATGCAACAGCAGGCAATTTGAATGGCGGGGGTTTGGCATTAGAGTGGGAGACATCAGATACATGATGTTTGCTCAACCCCCAACGGGATAATAACACACAGGGTCCATTAGGAGCTAGGTGAATGAAATAGAAAGAAGACATGGAGAAACATGTAATGACATCCACTGGAATTTGGATTTCAAATCCGGATTTGGCTCAAATTTCATGTTTGGGTAATCTAAAAAAAATGGATTTGGTATTGAGGCAAATTCCTCTATGGTATGTTTGGAAACATGGATTTGGATTTCAAATCTGGATTTGGCTTAAATTCCATGTTTGGGAAACTTAAGCATTTTGAATTTGGATTTGAATCAAATTCTTTGCATTCAAAACAATGCTTAATTTAAAATCCATGCACCTCCCCTTGTTATTTGAAATTCAGGATTTCAAATTTTAGAATTGAAATGCATGAATTGAAATGAAATGATAGTTGCCAAACACTACCCTAATTTATTACAAAGCTAAATTCAAATTTTGGAATTGAAATGCAAGAGTTGAAATGGAATGCTAGTTCCTAAACACTACCTAAGGGAAATTTTGAAGTAAAGAAAACATGAAAGAAAGTAAGGTTTCAAGTACAGATAAACTTTGAAAATGCCAAAGTTTAACGCTATCATTAGATAAGTGAGTAAAGCTGTGTCACTAACAGATATTCATCAAATCTCCATGAACAGAACTCAGAAGTCCCACAGACACGAAATTCCTTCCAGAACAAGAAGAACAAACAACTGAGAAAGCACAATTCATTCCTTACAGAACCCTAATTTCTCGGTTGAAAGCGTGAAAGCATCCATACCAACAATCGATTCAAGCAATCTCTCAAGCGGTTGCATTTGGTTTCACCACACCACACAAGAGATCAGAGACTAGCATTAACAGGAAATTATGAATGAACCATATGCGAAGAAGGGGACTTACAGGGTCAAGAGCATTCGGTTGGGGACCATAGTCTGCAGTGAGAAGGATATAAGAAGCAACAGCAGTGGCCACCATAGTCGTCCTTCTCACCAGCTTATCAGTTTTTGGGTCCATCGTCTTCCCTTTTTTTTTTTTTTGCCTCCAAAAAATTGCAGAAAGAAAGCAGCGAGATGGACAAAAAAGCACAAATGCACTGGCAAAGTTCGAAATAGGAACTCCAGAACATTTAGTAATTTAGACTAAAACATAATGACTTCCCCAAAATAGGACCATATGTTTTTTATTTCTGAATGTAGAACTTTTTTGGTCATTATTTTTTAGTCATTATTCAAGTAATGTCTATTATTGCTGGGCATTATTCCTTCCACGAAGACATTATTAAGTCCTATTTAAGGAATAAAAAAGTTTAAGTTCTAAATTAGGAAAGTGATTATGTTTTAGTCCTATTTAGTGCAAATTTCACTTCTTTTATTAGAGTATGATGATAAAATCCCCTTTCGGTAACCGTATTCTGAATGAACGCGCCCGTTTATTCTTGATCCATATGTAAAATGTAGTATTAACAAAAGTATGCTGACACAATAGCAACAAGGGTCCATAGCTCAGTGGTAGAGCAATTGACTGCAGATCAATAGGTCACCGGTTCGAACCCGGTTGGGCCCTTCTTCCTTTTTTATCTTCTCTTTTTCCCCTTCTATCCAAATCCACATTCTAAGGTATCACCCAATACAATACTCTCCGGCCTTTTTTCTACTCCGTACTATATTTCTTTCTCTTAATCAAAACCTTTTCTCTTACTAGTATATCTTTCTCTCCATCCAAAAATTTTGCATTTCTGCTGAGAGATTATTTATAACTTTATGCTAGATGTTTTTAAGAAAAAAAATCCTCATCGTTTTACTTGAAATATTAAGGGAATGAAAACAGAATGAATAATATAATATACATAAATCTTTTTTAGATATAGATAAATAAAGGTTTTTGAAAATTTATGAGATCGATAAAGTAGATAAGATTAATTTATTATTTATCGTAATTTGATTTTTTTCATATTTGGTACTTTCTCTATTACTTCATTTGTTCACCAAAATTCTTCATGTTTTGTTTTTACATGCAAAGCTTTATCTTTTTTAAAATTATTTATTTACAAATTCATATAAAAATAAAAAGTAAAACTTATAGATTTAAAAACAACATAAAAAATTTTACAAAATTAGTAACGACAAGAATATTTTATTTTATCAAATGACTATTAAAAAACACACACAAACAAAATTATCAAGCACTCTGAAATAGTTAACCGGAAGGATTTTGATGAACGAAAGAAGTAAAATATTACTCACATACACTGTATTTCAGATTTTTTTTCTTCACATCAACTATCAATTGAATATTACACCATCCTTCTAAATTAGAACGACCAAAATTACTTGTAAAGCTAGTCCATCCATCCCAAATCATATTAAATAGTCTATGATTAGTTGTAGAACTAGTCCATCCATCCATCCCATAGTATTTACAAACTACAAACATTCTATATAAAACAAAGAATAACATAAGTATTACTCCGTATTTGACAAGTATCAAAAGAATCACGAAAGCAAGCAACAACAAAAAAGTAGAATAAATAAAGTTTGATTTTGTGAATAATAATTATGCAACGCAAAACCCTAAATCGTGACAAAGGGAATTTGATACTTGAAGAAAACATTAGGGTACATTAATTGAAATCATCCAACATATCCCTAAGAGGATACATTCCACATTGTTTCATCTCTCAGGGAACGCACCAAGACAGACCAGAAAGTTGCACTTCAGTCGTGCACATTACAAATTTTTCTCTACGAGGATAGCTGGATCAATCGAATGTGAATTTTAAACCATCGTTGCATGCTAGATTGCTAATTAAAATATTATCCAAGTCAAGAGAATTGCATTTCTTACAGATGCTCATAGGAGGCACAAAAGATCTTTTTCTGGGGTGTGCTTGTCTCAATAGTACTACATTGTAATTCCCAAAGCAGCTACAGAGGAGGAAAAAAAAGTGAAATGGTAGTACAAATTCCCTGACACTTGGGGTGGCCTGACAAGAAGAACATATTCAGAAGCGACGAATATCTCTTGGGGGCTTAAAATGGAGAGGGTGAGTTTCTGGGGTGGCATTCTCGTCCTCTTTCCACATCTTTATGGTCTTGTCAGCCTCGCAAGTGATCAGCCTCGAACCAGACACATCATAGGTCATTGAGTAGATACCAGCCTCACTCTCCAGTGATCCTGTGTGCCGAAAATACAAGAGGAAAACAATTTCATGGTGCGCATTTTTTTTTATATAAATATACTTTTAAAGGACTATTGTTGGCGTGGAGCATACCGGGTTGAACAATTGTTTGTGCTTGCTGGAAATTATGGCCACTTCTCCAATCCCAGTACCACAAGCTCCCATTATCACCTTCAAACCGTATAAACAATTATGAAAACCATGTTGGGTTGGTCGCATGGCATTTTTTTGTCACCAATTTTTTCTAAAACTAGTCAAGGCTAAAAATTTCTGCAAAATATTAGTAGATAAATTTTGCACCAGTTACCATCCGTTTGCAACCCTATTAAAAGGGAATAATATAATATTGAGAGAAAAATTCAAATGTGTAATCATCATACTTGGTATTCATGTTGCATAGAATAACAAGTTTAGATATTTACTAGTTACTAAGTTCATATCTCGTTACATGATTGATGGATGTTCTAAAATTAACAAGCACTAATTCACTTCACGGCTGAAATGCATGGCTCAAATTTCTTACCTCCTGTAACCATCACACCATCATTATTGACAGCCATTGCATTGATGATTGTTTTCTGCTGAGAACTGTAACAAGAAAAAGCCATATTAAAAGACGATCCAACATCGCATCCGTGTTTGAAAATTTAGGGCTCCTAGCAAAACTTACAGCATGTTGTGCAAAAATTCTCCTTTGGGGAGGTTGAATTTTTTTATGTTGTCAGCAGAGGCAGACGCGAAAGCATCCCTAGAGAGAAGAGGGACAAATAGATATCAGTTACCTGAGTCCAGATATGAGGAACTAAACAGCAGACTTGAGAAAGTCTATGGCTCAGAAAAAATCAACTGCTTATTAAACATACTCGGTTGGATGCAATGACATTGCCCTGACGGATTTCTTGTGATGTGTGAGTGTTGTCATAGTCTTACCTGCCATGTTCCCATAATCATAGGCAGTTATAACATAAATCTGGGCAATAAAATTTATTTGAAAGCTATGCAGTGCCAATGGTCATGAAATAATACCATTTCTGAGGTCCCAGAATTTTATAGTTGAATCGTGTGAGCCGGTAATGACTTGAGGATCCTGAATTTAAAGAACAACTTTATAGTGACATTAATCTTTTCTTTAAAAAAAATTAAACACCAACAATAAGCCAATCGTACATCCTTTTTAATTGTGAGAATCGTTATTCAAACAAATCTCCAAACTGTGCCTTTTTAAAAAACACCACCATTTGGATATTCAAGCTAATGGTAGATTATATCTCCAAGGAATGTATTGCAATGCATTCAAAATTATGCAAATCAAAACTCTTTTTTAATCAAGATTATGATTCACAATTAGTGCTTACAAACGGAACGAGGGAATTCAAAGTTGGATTACAGAAAGTGGATGAAAAGGAAAAGGTTTCCGAATAGTGCAGCGCTAAAAGGATTAGATACAATCAGTTAACAGCATAACCCAGTGTCACCGCCACTGCAAAGGGCCACTGATAAAGTAGATGGAGTGAGTGTGTGTCAGGCAAACACCCTTCCCTTTTAATGAGAGAAAATTAGCATTCCGGAAATCCATTTGAATCTCACGAGAGTAGGATTTGCAAAGACTATTGGGCTTGGAACACTTGGATGGGTTTGCAAATACTTGGCCTTGGGTGGCTTCCCTGAGCCCAAGCTCAGCTCAGTGGTTCAGAACAAGGTTGTGACCTTTGGACTTCGCACATGTATCATCCACAATATTCCACGATGGGCCATCCGTGTTGGTCTAGGCCTATCCTCCCCGTGGTTCACCTAGGGGACATGTCTGATTTCCTCAGCATTTTCTTGTGTTTGTGTATTGTCTATTTATACCACTCCCCGTCCACAGGAGAGGGTACATTATTCATTTTCAATTCAATTACTCTCTCCCTCTATCGCTCTCTATCTACTCTCTCTCACTACATGATTCCTAAATACAACACAGAATAAATACATACGGAGTAAATATTAAAAGAATAGACGTTATGAAATGGGCTTCCTTTATGCTGTGGGCTTTGGACAATGAATATGCAGAAAATCATACTCCCTCCGCGCAAAAAAAGAATTTTATTTGAGAACTTATTTTGTCCAAAAAGAGTCATATTGGAACACAAATAGTTAATTTTCATAATACTTAATGGTTTTTATTTATTAAAAAAAGTGGTCCAAATAAGCTATTTGTCGCATTTAAGTTAAACAAGCAAATAAATTTAAACAAATACATTTAATGACTTCAAAAAGTTATACCTTAATCAATGTAAAAAAGTTACATCTTTGCGAAAGAAGACATCTTTTATGGGAAAAACCCGAAAAAGGAAGTAGTACAATATCTCATTCAGCTGAATGCATAAACTTCTCTCTGCAACCTCTATGCCAGAATGGATCTATTGGGGTGCAAGGAAAAGCAAATAAGAAATTATCTGGTTCCAAACAAAATCCAATTTGTGGTTATTGAGAGAAATTTGGCACAAGTATATCAAGATGTTTCTCACTCTTTGAGACTCAGATTAACAAAGAAAGGGTGATAGCATGACACTCAGAAAAGATAGGTCGATAGGACAAAGAAATTCATGAGAAGATACTCTAGTCCAATGATTCATAGCTGATGAATTTATCTAGATGAATTCAATAGCATAGAAAAACCATGTAATCAATTGCAATGTAATTATGAATTAACGCCCGATTGAAGTACTAGTGCAAGTAATATGAATTTAAGCTCAATTTGGGTGAAATATGTGACTTAGCCTCAAATATTGAACAGTAAGCCATAACTAATTATAGTTAAAGGTCCCAGCAAACAAACAAGCCAATTACAAAGACGTACCAAAGGCCGAGATAGAACAGAGCACACGGTCTCATCATGTCCTGACAAAGCATGTATCTGCATCTTGCTCCTAATGTCC